CAAAGGGTATACATTTGAAGGCAGGAAAGAGTGAAGGAACTCTCCATCCACTTCAAAAAAATAAAAAGGTGGAGGCAGCTGAACTGACCGAAGAAAAACACACAGAGAGGTTGGTGGCAGGTGCAACCAAATAACCAAAGAAGACAAGAACTTGGAAGGTGGCACGACCTACCTGCAGGGGAGGAAGAGGAAAGCTGTGGAAGGAAGGAAGGGCTGGGGGTGTAGGAGCATGTAGGTCATAAGATTCTGAGAACTAAGCATCTGGAAAAGGAAGAAAGTGAGAGAGCTTACCTGTTCAGATCAGAGACATGAGCAGGCCTCCCCTCCTGCCTTTCCCCTAGCCTCTGCTCCCTCCTCTCCTAGCCCAACCCTGCTCAACATTTGGAGAAAGTTCTGGTTCTTTAAGTGGGTTTTGTCAGCATCTGGCTGTGAAGGGGCCGGGGAATGAGAATAGAAACTGAATTGATCTCTTCCCCCACTTCATGCTCAGAGATCAAAGATGTAATACCCCACCCCGACTCCCCACTTAGTCTCCAGGGACAGGATGGAAGCCAAGCCCACGGGTTAGGAACCTTCCCAAGGCACAGAGAGGAGTTTGAAGAAGAAAGAGCGGAAAGAATGGAAGATCCAGGCCTGTGACATAGAGTGGGCTCCAAAGACTGGCCCTGGGGCCGGGGACAAAACTTCTAAGAACAGCAGACAAGGGTTGCCCATGTCCTTCCCATGCTACCATCCCTGCAAACTGCCTCTTCTTTAACCCCCATCTGCACACCATCACGGGGATGCAGGGGACAGGCCCAATGGAAGTAAGAGGAAAATCAAATTGGCAACATCAAAACGATAGAAAATAGGCTTAAGGTATCAAAGTGTGAGAGAGTTTAGAGGAAGAAACATCAAATTGTCACCTTGCAGGGTAATTACTCATGGATCTATTGCAGGAAAAGATCTGATCTTTGAGCTTCATTCCAACTGGATGCCCTGAATAGGAGAGCTTTGGAAAATCTAGCCCCTTTCTGTCTACAAATATGGTCTTCAAATATAACCCAATCTGCAGATCAGAGGCGGGGATGAATCCCCAGAACGTAGATGCCTAGAAACCCCAACACTTTGAAACTCTCACTTATCTCGCTGCCATCTCAGAGACTCTGTAAGCAATCCTCTCTAGATCCAGAGGTCAGCAAGGCTGGGAGACTGCAGACACTGCAGGCAGCGTGCCCACTGCACTGACTCTGAGGACCCCCAGAGGAGGAATCTGTGGCTACACACAGTCATTATGGGAGGGACTGGTTCAGGCTGCAGCCACGGGGAGGCAGGTTAGACTACAGGGGGCACCTTCCTGGGGGGCAGGGGAGGACTCAGGGAACTTAGTTCAGAAGCAACTCTGGAAACACACACACACACACACACACACTGTCTGGACTTAAGTGAGGATGAGTCTGGGAGGCAGAAGCAAGAGGAACACAGCTGAGAACGGGGAAAGGCTTACTAGGACGAGAAATCCACAGGGCTCAGATGGGAGTCGCTTGTGGGCCCTGTTCCAACCATCAAAACCTGTCTTTGCACCCCAAATCTCCAACACCCCAAAAAGTAAAGGAGACAAGAAAAAAAAGAATGGATAATAAGAGGTTAAGGGAATTCGGGGAGGCACAGGCTTGTGGTGACAAGATGGGGAACAGAGTAGGCAATAGAGGATGGGCTGGAGGATGTAGGAGAAGAGGGGGTAGAAATGACGGCAAATCCCTGCAAGAAAATATACCAGAAGGGCCCAGCTGGACCTGGGGCAGGAGAAATGATGTGAACCTAATAGAAGTACTAGAACAAGGGGGTCAAGAAGGAGGGCGTGAAAAGGTGGGAGAGAGGGAGAGAGAGCGAGAGGACATCAGAGAAGGGACTGATAAAGGGGAAGGACAGAAGGGGGACCCATATAAGGAACGGACACCATATGGGGGGAAAGATATAGGTGATGGACACCAGAGGAGGGAGGGGGAACTGGAAATAAGGATTGGAGATGGGGGAGGGGAGTAAGAGTGGTGGAGTGAATGAAGCAGATAAGACCCCAGGGGTTACACTGTCCTGGGCAAGGGCCTGGAGGAGGTTTGGGCAGTGTAACCTGCCCCTACTCCCATCACTCAGTCTCACTTGCATTCCCCCTCCCCCCTCCACAAACACACACACATTTGGCCCTCCCCCTGCCCTGGTCTCTCCTCCCCCAACCCATTCCCTCTCCTCTCTTCCCTCCATCTGGACCCTCTATTCCTCCCCCCACACACACTGCCTCCCTCTCTCTCCATCTGGCCCCTGCTTCTCTTCCTCCATCCTCCTCTCTTTTTCCATCCCATCCCATTCTCTGACCCCCCACCCCCCACCATATTCTGAACCCCATCTTCTTGGCTCCTCTTTGCAACCCTATGTTTTCATTTCTCCCTCCCAGCCCCTCTCCCGACTCTGCCCTTCTATTTCCTTGATATTTTCCTCATCTCTTAGCTTCAAAATTATTTCTGCAGCTCTTCCTCCAACCCTATCCCATCTTCCCACCCTTTCTTGCGATCTCTTCTTTCCCCTTCATTTTCACCTCAGCCCTCTTTAAGGCCTGTCTCCTGGCCCCTCCGGTCCCTATCTCCCCTGTCCCCTGGCCTTCAATCCCTCCTTCCTCACTGCTCCTATACTGTCTTCCTAGTCCTCCTGTCTCCCTCCATTTCAGCAGCTCCCCTCCTTGGCCTCGGCTCTGCCCCCTCCTCCGCCCTGCCCCTGCCCCTCCCCCCTTTACCCCTCCTAACTGGCCCTCCCCCTCCCCTCCCTGGCCCTCCCCTTCCCCTCGCCACCGTACCTCTGAAGGGGGCATAGGACATCGCGGGGATGCTCCCCCGATGGATGGAGGCGCGAGACCTGCTCATCAGGCCTGGGAGGGAGGGGGCGGGGGACGGGGGAGAAAGAGAAGAGAGAAAGAGGGGGAGAGAGAGGGGGAGAAGGAGGAGGAGGTGGAAGAGGAGGAGGAGAGAGGAGGAGAGAGGAGCGGAGAGGAGCAGAGAGGAGGAGAGAGGAGGAGGAGGAGGAGAATGGGAGCCAACGGCAGCAGCGGCAGCCGGGAGAGAGAGAGGGGGGCGGGGGAGTGAGCGAGAGAGGAGAGAGCAGGAGGAGGAGGAGAGAGAGAGATCTGCAGCCCCCACCCCTACCCAGTGGGAATCAGAGAGACAGAGACCCCTGACTCAGAAACACCAGAGAGAGAGAGGGAGAGCGAGCCGGAGAGAGAACAGTTTTAAAGCTGCAGATCCTAGACCCTGAGAGCAAGAGACCCCAGACCCAGAGAAAGATACTTGTCACCAGGGAGGGGAGGTGCGGGGAGGTTAATCTGAGGCACAGATCCAAAATCTAGAGGAAAACAGACCTCAATCTCTGTAAAAGCAAAAACAACGCCCCCCAAACAGACCCCCATAAAGAAAGGGGTGAAAGGTCAAAAACTGAGCCACCGGTTTCAAAAAAGTTCTCCAGAGCCACAGGAATCTTGGACGGTAGCCTCAGATGGTTATTCAGGGACCAAGCTCTGAGGCTGAGACCCAGATGCAGAGAGAGATGTCAACCAGAGACCCCAGATACAGGAAATGCAGACCTCGGGCTTGGGGTGGGAGTGGGGGAGAAGGGGAGGAAGAGGTTAGAGATGGGGAGCGAGGGAGGGAGGGAGGAAGACGCTTAGCTAGTGCAGAGATGCAGAACTCAGCGACCCCAAATTCATAAAGAAGAGTTAGAAAAACCTTGAAGAGACAGTGATTACAGATCCAGGAAAACAAACCCCTAAAACAAAAACAGAAAGAAACCCCAATGCAAACACGGAAAAGACCCCCCAGAGTTGTATCTCAGGAACAAACTCCGAAGCAGAGACAGAGCTCTGGAGGAGACCCGGCCGAGAGGCAGGCCTGAGGGAACTCCGGAGGCAGCCTGAGAAATGCCAGTCGCCCACCCCCGGCCAGAGACCCTAGACCTTGGGGGGGGGGGAGCACTGGGTAGAGGGTGTGGAAGAGCCTTTTCCTTGCTTCGTCCTCCCACCACGCCCTCCTCTCATTGGCCCCTCTCCATTTTTGGGTCACAGGATGTGCCTGCGCCCCAGGGAGGTTATGTAGGGCAGGTCCTGGCTCCTAGGAGGACGGGTTAAGGGAAGGAGACCCAAGCTGACAGGTAGACCAGTCTGGAGAGGGCATAGGAAGGGGATAGGGACACAAGGACCGTCACTGCCTCTTGGTGTCCTCTCCATATCCCCAGCCTCAGCTCTACTTCTCCCGGATTTACCAGCCTGCCTCCAGCTTTGGGAGGCGCCTGCTGCCCGATGTTCATCGCCCCATTTACAGGGTCTCCTTCTAAAAGACGTCTTTCCTCACCTCGCCATGGTCTAGCCGTGCCCGTGCCTGCCTAATCACTCCCCCTGCCCAGGGACACTGCTTCTCCTCGGATTATCATTGTTCATTCCCAATCCCAGGCGAGTGCTAGTCCTAAGCAAGAGGGCAGGGGGCGCTCTCTTCACCCTCCGAGGTTAAACCTTCTCAGACCCTCCCACCTCCGGGCCTCGGGAACCGCGTAGGGGCTGTGGTGAGGTGCCCTCTGGGGACTAGGGATGACCCCCCCCACTCCACAACTTGACGCATCGAGTCTGCGGGGTCTCCAGCCCCGCTTTCCTGGCGCCATCTCTTCCATCACGTGGCCTGCAGGGCTGGCCCGCGATTGGTTTCCTCGCGTCCCTCATTGACAGACCGCCATCCGCGGGGACCTCCCCCGTCACGTGACAGTGGATCGCCGCCGAGGCTCTCCTCAGCTTGCCATTGGTCGGCTCCGGGAACGGGGACCTCCCCCGTCACGTGACAGTGGATCGCCGCCGCTCTCCTCAGCTTGCCATTGGTCGGCTCCGGGAATGGGCGGGCCATTTCCGTACACGGCTGCAGATCCTTTGTGGATTGGTCAGCTCCCTTCGCTCCTCCCTCACCAGGAGGCGGGGCAAATTGGGCCATGCGAGGGCCGGATTGGCTGGCTCTGGAGGCGCAGCTCTTACTGTCACGTGGTGTACGTTGTGTTCTTATCACGTGGCTACCTCCCAGGTAAGTAGAGGCCCCTCTTCCTGGGTGTGGGGCCTTTTCTCGGCGTTACTGTGGCCTTTGATATCCAACCCTCCTCCGCCAGCTTAGGCTGCATGAGAAGGGTGCGGGCTCCCGCGGTCCTGCTCGGCGGAGGGGTGAGTGAGCGGCCCCGCCCCTCCCGGTTCGGAAGCCTGGACCACCACCCGCACCCTAACCCCAGAGGTTGGCCCCTGAGGAGGGTGTATAAACCGAGCCTTTGCCTGAATTTTTCTAGTTTCTCTCTCAGCTTCAGGGACCTTTCCTTCGGGGTGCAGAAGAGGGAGGGCAGAGTCCGAGTGTCTGTCCAAACGAGGGGTTTCTGGGGTGCAGTTGCCTGTGGTTTGTGGGGAGACACCGAATTCAGCGCCTGCTCCCAGGCCGCGCTGCTCCTGTCGCTCCTTTGGATGCCGGCGCTGCTGCCTGTGGCCTCCCGCCTCCTCTCGCTGCCCCGCGCCCTGACGGCCATGGCTTCAGGAAGCCCCCCGGCCCAGCCCTCGCCGGCCGCGGACTCCGGTTACGTTCCGGGCTCGGTCTCTGCAGCCTTCGTGACCTGCCCCAATGAGAAGGTCGCCAAGGAGATCGCCAGGTGGGGACCCGTGTGGGAAGAGGCAGACCAGAGGGAGAGTTGGGTGCTGAAGAAGGTCCCTCCGCCGCTGCCCGCCTCTGGGCTTGGAGACCCTGGGCTGGCGGCGCAGAAGCCGGGTGGTGGAGCGCTCTGAAGGGGTCTCTTCGCCTCCAGGGCTGTGGTGGAGAAGCGCCTGGCAGCCTGCGTCAACCTCATCCCTCAGATTACATCCATGTGAGTCAGGACTGGGGTCACCCTAACGCGGCTAGGGGCTGACTGGCGGTCTTTTCGTTGGGGAAAACCTTTGCTCTCACAACTCTCCCTGACCTTTTCAGCTATGAGTGGAAAGGAAAGATTGAGGAGGACAGTGAGGTGCTGATGGTGAGAATCATTTCCCCACCCCTCGAAGCCTCAATTCTCTGACCTTTGACCCCTCTCCTTCATGAGATCCTGAGATCAGCCCCATGGGTGGATTCAACTACATTTGTCTTCACCCCTTAGATGATTAAAACCCCAAGTTCCTTGGTGCCAGCTTTGACAGATTTTGTTCGGTGAGAATTTTGAACTGGGGGGCGGGCTGTGGTCAGGGTGGGTAACGTGGGGGTGGGCTCCTTTGGGTAAATCTTGAATGACCCCACCCCTCTATTTCACAGCTCTGTGCACCCTTACGAAGTGGCTGAGGTGATCTCCTTGCCTGTGGAGCAGGGGAACTCGCCATACCTGCGCTGGGTGCGCCAGGTGACAGAGGCAGCTTCTGACCCCAGCACCGTCCCACCATGACGAGCCCTGTTCCTGCCACGTCCCCTCCCATACTTCAGGGCCCTCTGACCTGCAGAGGACGCCTGGGCCCCTAATAAATCCTACCTTTGGTTCTTTCTGCCTTTGCCTTTTCTCGTCATGTATGAATTTGGTTGGGAAGATTAGAAGTGCTTCTAGTCCTGTGTTCTCATCTTTCAGAATGACTCAGCTGCCAGATTTGTTTATCTTTATTTCAATCATACAGAGCCCAGTATCCTTTATTATCCTTCCCCTCCTCAGTCTCCATCCCCAGGGGTTAAATAATTTTTAAAAATATTTTAAAAGCTGTAACAAAATAACATCAAAGGAAATGGGAAGCAGGGTGGGGGAAAGCTCAGGAATCATGAAGGGAGTAGAGAAGAGAGCCTCTTCTCCCCGCCTCCCCTGGATTCCACCTGGGCAGTAGGAAAACTACCCCCTCCCTCCCCAGGTACATCCCAGCTGTAGGTGAGGTCAGAGGTCAGGGTACGAAAGTGCCGATGTGTGTGTGAATGGGGAGGTGGGCAGAGGCAGGCTGTTCAGAAGATGCCCCCGCCTCCCCACTCCACCAGGTACTGCACAGAACCATCAGGCCGTACTCTCCGAGCCAGGACTCGGACAGGGTCCCCTCGGGACAGATAGCCCACCCCACCTCGTACTCCTCCCCCAGTCCCAGGAGACAAACTACGGCACAGGGGAGAAGAGAGTGCTGAGCGTCTAGGAAGACCTGGGGAGGGCGCTGGGACTGAGGAAGATGAGGCAATCATCGAGTGAGGGGCACTTTTAGGGATGTCTGTGGGGAAACCAATGTGAAGTTCCAGAGGTGACCTAGGGAGAGAAGGCAGTTGTGAGTCCAGTAAGACAGGTAAGGACTGACCAGAAATGGAGCCCACAAGTAGATCAGAGGAATGAAGAAATGGTTGGAGATTGAGGACCTGAAGAACACAGAGACAGCGAGGGGTGTCACAGGTAAGGGGGTAGAATCTCACCTGTCTGGGGGTTCGCCATCCCCAGAGGTCCCTGCAGTGCTGGCAGAGGGGTGGAAGGAAGCGAACATCCGGATGGGACTACTAGGGTTGGGGAGGGAGAAAAGTCAGGACCTGAAGCAAGAAAACAGGACATTCTCCCCCTGAATGAGCTTACCCCTGAGGAACCCCCATCCCCAGGATACTGGGGACCAGACATTGGTTCTAGAAGTCTCTCTGGGACAAAAAGAGGGCAGCCAAATGAGAGAATTCTGAGTGAGAAAGTCCAGAGGATGTGGACAATTAGAGAGGTTCTAGGGCAGCATATCTGGTTGGAGGGGATAGCAGCACTGACCTGGGCAGGCAGCGGGCGTCGGTGGGCCGGAAGTTGTAGCCGCTGCTGCCCTGGTAACTCTGGTTAGGGCTGGGGGGTGGTGGAGACACTGAGGCCTAGAAGTAGGAGAGACAGCGAGGGGTGTCACAGGTAAGGGGGTAGAATCTCACCTGTCTGGGGGTTCGCCATCCCCAGAGGTCCCTGCAGTGCTGGCAGAGGGGTGGAAGGAAGCGAACATCCGGATGGGACTACTAGGGTTGGGGAGGGAGAAAAGTCAGGACCTGAAGCAAGAAAACAGGACATTCTCCCCCTGAATGAGCTTACCCCTGAGGAACCCCCATCCCCAGGATACTGGGGACCAGACATTGGTTCTAGAAGTCTCTCTGGGACAAAAAGAGGGCAGCCAAATGAGAGAATTCTGGGTGAGAAAGTCCAGAGGATGTGGACAATTAGAGAGGTTCTAGGGCAGCATATCTGGTTGGAGGGGATAGCAGCACTGACCTGGGCAGGCAGCGGGCGTCGGTGGGCCGGAAGTTGTAGCCGCTGCTGCCCTGGTAACTCTGGTTAGGGCTGGGGGGTGGTGGAGACACTGAGGCCTAGAAGTAGGAGCAGAGGACTGAGAGAGAACCCTGGATTCCCCACACCAGCATGTGCTCCATGGGGTTGCCTCTGCCCCGTACCTGCAGTGCCCTCTGCAGAGGGGCCCGCTGCCTCTGCTCCTGGGGCTCTGGCTGAGTGCGCACTGCTGAGGGCGGCCCCAGCTCCTCCATCTTCCCCTTCTGCCTCCTCAGGGGCTCTGGCTCCGGCCTCCGGCGCTTCCCCAGGGGACGTGGAACCCCTCCCCCAGGGCCCTGCCCTGAAGGGAAGCTGTAAGAGGCCTCCTTATCCCCCCAGCCCCCTCCCGGACACCCCAAAGACCCCCACCTCCATATATATTTACCCCCAGATTAATACCCTGAGAATTTCCCCATCCCCCCTAGACCAGTGACCTGGTGGGGGCTCCATCTCCAGTAGGTGGCTCCACAGGAGGAGGGATCCGAGCATGAAGACCAAACAAGCATTTCCTCTTCTTAATCTCCCTTCCTGAAATGAAACTGGGGTGAGGAGAGAAATGGTACAGGTCAGTGTTATAGAAAAGGGCCCCTCTTCTGACCTTCCTCCCTGCTTCCCAGAGACGGTGTCCAGGTGGATCGCAGCACCGCCCTCCCCAGCTTCGTCTCCACATCACCTCTCGGCCTCCCTTCAGCTTACCGGTCCTTGTGGCTGTTGAGCGCAGAGAGGAGCTTGGAAGAACGTTCTCCCTTGGGAGTGTCCGAGAGCTGAGGAAGAGGAGGGAAAGTGGGGTCAAGAAGCAGTGCTCCCTCCCCCTCTTCACATCTCCCTCTTCCCCCACAACCTCCAAAGCTTCACCACCCCTTACCTCCCCAAGGAGCAAACTGTCCCAATTCTCAGAGGTGAAGGGGAGGATCTCACGGTCAAAATCAAAGTATTTTTTCTTACAGCAAACGCTGAGGTGATAGAGGACAAGATGGGCCACATCCACCCTGGAGAAGCATTGAGTTGTCAAGGTTGTGGAAGCATTACAACAGCCAGGGGAGTTCCGAGTGGGAGGTTGGGGCAGGTAGGGTGAGAGAGGAGTTACACTGAGGTCAAGCTCACCAGCGAAGCTGTAGCCTCCTGACCTTCTCAGGGCCCCCCCGACACACACAGCATTCAAACTCATAGAACCTGGATGTGGGCAAGAGAGAGAATACACCTGACACGGGAAAACTATACCATGCTATGGAGGGCTCACAAAGCAAGGATGGGGAACTAGTGAGCAACACTTGAGAGGTTGTGAGGAGAATGGATCTGAGACAGGCAGGTGTGGGGGAACCGAGAGGGTGGGCAGATCAAGAGGGCTCTCTGGGCTCCCGGAGTCTGTCCTGGTCTCACCTGTCCCCGTAGAGGAGGGGCTTGCTCAGACACTGGGTGCAGGCCTCGTGGAACCACTGCAAGCAGCTCCGGCACTGCAGCATTTTCAGGTTCCACCTGAGGGGGCACATAGGACTAGTGACCTCCAGACACTCCCCCTTAACTGCCCCAAACCCTGCTCACCACCGACTGCCTCCCCTTCAGCACTCTGCTTACCCTGGTCTCCATTCCCCGGGAATTCCTGCACAACCACTTGTTCCTGAACCCCTGCCCCTCATTACTCACTCCCCAGGACCACCACAGTAACAGTAGCTCTGCTGCCGGTTGCTCAGATGTCCAGCGTCCCAGTCCAGCCCCTTGAGTCCGTACGGCAGAGAGAGCTTCATACCCAGCATGGCCCGGGCGTAGGGGCCCTTCTTCAGTGCACCCCCCCTCTGCAGAGACAGAAGGGGCAGGCCACCTCAGCAGTGGGGCGAGGAAAGGCTTGGGAGAGGCCGTGGGTGGGCAGCTCCAATAGGAAGGTGCCTTTACCTTGGTGGCGATGGCAAAGATGCACTGGCGGCAGACCCAGGACGTGCCCTCTCCCTCTCCAGGGGCTGGGGCCCTTGGAACGTGGCAGTCCTGGTGATAAGCTGAATAATGATAGTGAGGTAGAGCACTTACTGAATTGTAAACCTCCGTGTACTAGGCACTGGGAGAGGAAGAGTCTTATCTATCTCATTTAATTCTCAGCCATCGTCCTGTTTGGGGCGGGGGGTAACTACCCTTATTCTACAGGTGAGGGAACTGAGGCTCCTAGAGGTTTTGAGACTTGTTCAAAGCCATATGGTTAAGAAAGAGATTACTTGAGCCACCCTCTGCCTGCAAAGCTCACACATCCCCATCCCATGGCTGCCTCTCTGTGTTGGGAAGGGACTGAGGTTACAGGGTTGAAGAGACTGGCCAGAGCAGTGGCCTGGGGGACAGGCCAGAACAGGGGGTATAAGGACCAGTGCTGGAGGGAAGGGACAGAGCAGCCGGGAATGTCCAGGGCAAGCTGGACCATCCAGGTGTCCTGTGCTCTCACCGTGGCGACACTTCTCACAGCTGACCAGCCGGTTCCCAGGGACCACAGCCTCTGAGCGACAGACACAGCAGAGGAGTTCCTCCCCAGGGAGGGCAGCTACGAGGGAACACAGTGTTAGGGCCTGTCCTTTAGGCAGGTTCCTGTCTTCCATGGGATGCACACCCCCAGGCCTCTAGGGTCTCACCAGGGCTAATGTCTTTCCATAGAACCAGAAACTGGGAGTCATCCTCAAACTGCACCAGACACACCTCCCGAGCACTGTCCACCTGGAGTGGGTGAGTACACAGGTAAAATGGGCATCAGAACTAGATGAGGAGACTGGGGGAAAGGTGACGGGTCAGAGGTCAAAGGTCTCACCTTCTTGATAGTTCCCAAGTACAGCAGCCCATCTGTCCATCTGGCCAGCACATCCTGACCCTCCCAAAGTCGAGGCCTGGGGCCTGAGGTGGGAGCAGAGGAAGCTGGGTCCCAAAGTGGGGGGGCACCAGAGCGGCTCAGCCGGGGGGGCTGTGCCATTGCATCCTGGGGGGGCCTGGCCAGAGTAGAATGTGAGGAGGTTATGGAAGCTGAGGAACACTCCTGATTTTCTTTGCCTATTTTTCTGTCAAGGATTCAAGCAGCTGTGCCCCCTGTCTCCATGCCCCTGAGACAGCTGGGCAGGAAACCCCTCAGCACCCCTCCTCAGCTGGACTCCAGCTCGCCCAACTATGGTGACCAGTCTCCCTCCCTAACCAGCCCACCCCACCTAGTTCTCCGGTCCCAGCTTCCAGAGCTCCCCTGGGCTTATATCCTGGTCTTGAGATTTTAACAGAGACGATGGCTG